GGATGAATGAATGAGTAAAAAAAAAAAAAAAAAAAAAAAAAAAAATCTTGTGTATACACACAATATAATATTATTCAGCTTTAAAAAGGAAGTAAATTCTGACACATACTACAACATGGATGAACTTCGAGGACATTGTGCTAAGTGAAATAAGCCAGTCACAAAAAAGACAAATACTGTATGATTCTACTTATGTAAGGTACCTAGAATAGTGAAATTCATAGAGACAAAGTAGAATGGTGTTTGCCAGGGGCTGTGGAGAGGGAGAATGATAAGTTGTTTGACAGGTATAGAGTTTAAGTTTTGTAAGATGAAAGCATTCTGGAGATTGGTTGCACAACAAGTGAATATATTTAGCAATACTGAACTGCACACTTCAAGAATTGTTAGGGTGGCTGGTGCACTTGCTCACGCCTGTAATCCAACATTTTGGGAGACTGAGGTGGGAGGATCACTTGAGCTCAGGAGATGGAGACCAGCCTGGGCAACATGGCAAAACTCTGTCTCTACAAAAATACAAAAATTAGCCAGGCATGGTGGCTCATAGATCTGTGGTCCTGGCTACTCTGGAAGCTGAGGCAGGAGGATTGCTTGAACCTGGGAGGCAGAAGTTGCAGTGAGCCAGATCATGCCACTGCAGCCTGGGCAACAGAGTAAGACCCTGTCTCAAAAAAAAAAAAAAAGAAAGAAAAAAAAGAAAGAGAGAATTCCCCTTTCTGTAGTTAAGACACCAACCTGATATTTGGTTAAATATTTGTTTCATTTTGTTTTCCTTTTTTTTTTTTTTTTTTTTTTTTTTGAGACGGGGTTTTCCTCTGTTGCCCAGGCTGGAGTGCGGTGGCCGGATCTCAGCTCACTGCAAGCTCCGCCTCCCGGGTTTACGCCATTCTCCAGCCTCAGCCTCCCAAGTAGCTGGGACTACAGGCGCCCGCCACCTTGCCCGGCTAGGTTTTTTTTGTATTTTTTAGTAGAGACGGGGTTTCACCGTATTATCCAGGATGGTCTCGATCTCTTGACCTCGTGATCCGCCCGTCTCGGCCTCCCAAAGTGCTGGGATTACAGGCTTGAGCCACCGAGCCCGGCCTTGTTTTCCATTTTTAAGGGTTTTTTTCCACCTTAACTTAATTCTGTCTTGTATAACACGGTTACGTTTCTATAGTTAAATGATACCACAAATGCATCAGAAGAAGTGCAGTTAGATCATGTTCTCTCCCCATTGGCAATCATTTTTCTTAGTGCTTGATTTATGCTTCCATTGTTTGTTTCTACAATTGTGGTAAGATATGTATATAATAGGCTGGGCGTGGTGGCTCACACCTGTCATCCTAGCACTTTGGAGGTTGAGGCAGGAGGATCACTTGAGTCCAGGAGTTGGAGACGAGCCTGGGCAACACAGTGAGACCCTGCCTCTAGAAAATATACAAAAACATTAGCTGGGCATGGTGGCATGGTCCCAGCTACTTGGGAGGCTGAGGTGGATCACTTGAGCCTGAGGTTGCAGTGAGCTGAGATCATGCCACTGCACTCCAACCTGGGTGACAGAGTGAGACCCTGTCTCAAAAAAAAAAAAAAAAAAAAAATATATTAATATATATTTTAAAAAAATAACAGTTCCCATTATAACATAATGTGTTTTTTTTGAGACGGAGTCTTGCTCTGTCACCCAGGCTGGAGTGCAGTGGCGCGATCTTGGCTCATTGCAGCCTCTGCCTCTGGAGTTCAAGTGATTCTCCTGCCTCAGCCTCCCAAGTCCTGGGACTTCAGGCACCCGCCACCACACCTGGCTTATTTATTTATTTATTTTAGTAGAGACAGGGTTTCACCATATTAGCCAGGCTGGTCTCAAACTCCTGACCTTGTGATCCCCCCACCTTGGCCTCCCAAAGTGCTGGGATTACAGGCATGAGCCACCATGCCTGGCTTAACAATATTTTTTAGAATCAGTCGTCAGTGTCTCACTATGTTGCCCAGTCTGGAGTGCAGTAGCTATTCACAGGCACAATTAAAGCACATTACAGCCTCAAAATCCTGGTCTTAAGTGGGACTCAAGCAATCCTCCTGCTGGAGTAGCTGATAATACAGTCTGGCACCATCACACCTGGCACCATTTTAGCAATTTTTTTTTTTTAAATTGAGACAGAGTCTCCCTCTGTCACCCAGGCTGGAGTGTAGTGGCATGATCTCGGCTCAGTACAAGCTCTGCCTCCTGGGTTCACGCCATTCTCCTGCCTCAGCCTCCCCAGTAGCTGGGACTACAGGCGCCCGCCACCACGCCCAGCTAATTTTTTTGTATTTTTGGTGGAGAAGGGGTTTCACCATGTTAGCCAGGATGATCTCGATCTCCTGACCTCATGATCCGCCTGCCTCGGCCTCCCAGAGTGCTGGGATTACAGGCGTGAGCCACCGCACCCGGCCCATTTTAGCAATTTTTAAGTGTATAATTCAGTAGCAGCATAAAGTACATTTGGATTGTTGTGCAAGCGTCACTATTAGCTGTCTCCAGAACTTTTTCATTATCCCAAATAAAAACTCTGTAACCATTAAACAATTATTATCTGCTGGGCTTGGTGGCTCATGCCTGTAATCTCAGCACTTTGGGAGGCCAAGGTGGGCAGATCGCCTGAGGTCAGGAGTTTGAGACCAGCCTGGGCAACATGGCAAAACCTCTCTCTAGTAAAGATACAAAAATTAGCTAGGCGTGGTGGCAGGCGCCTGTAATCCCAGCTACTCTGGAGGCTGAGGCAGGAGAATTGCTTGAACCCAGGAGATGAAGTTTGCAGTAAGCCGAGCTCATGCCACTGGGTGACAGTGCAGGACTCCATCTCAAACAACAATAACAACAAACCATAACTCTTTATTACCTCCTTCCTCCTTACCTCTGGTAATCACTATTCTGCTTTTTGTCTATGAATTCGACTTATCTAGGTATGTCATATAAGTGGAATCATACAATATTTATCCTTTTGTTTCTGACTTATTTCATTTAGCATAATGTTTTCAAGGTTCATTTATGTTGTATATGTGTCAGGATTTAATTCTTTTTAAAAGCTGAACAATATTCCATTGCAAATATATACCATATTTGGTTTATTCATTTGTCCATTGATAGGGCTGTTTCTACATTTTGGCTACTGTGAATAATGCTACCATGAACATGGGTGTACAAATATTTATTTGAGTCTCTGCTTTCAGTTCTTTGGGGTATATATGTAGAAGTGGAATTGCTGGATCATATGGTCATCCTATGTTTTATTTTTTGAGGAACTACCATACTGTTTTTCTTTGGAGGGGAAGACAAAGTTTCAATATTTTGCCCAGGCTGGGCTTGAACTCTTGATCCTCCTGCCTCAGCTCTGTGAGTAGCTAAGACCACAGCGACATGCCACCATACTCCATATTTTGTGTTTTCTTTTTTTAAATTTTTTCTTTGAATTGAGACGGGGTCTCCCTATGTTGCCCAAGCTGGTCTTGAACTACTGAGCTCAGGGGATCTGTCTGCTTCAGCCTCCCAAAGTGCTGGGATTATAGGTGTGAGCCACCTTGCCTGGTGCATATATTTCCTTTTTCTTTTTTCTTTCTTTCTTTCTTTCTTTTTTTTTTTTTTGAGGCAGAGTCTTGCCCTGTCACCCAGGCTGGAGTGCAGTGGCGCCATCTCAGCTCACTGCAAGCTCTGCCTCCCGGGTTCACGCCATTCTCCTGCCTCAGCCTCCTGAGTAGCTGGGACTACAGGCGCCCACCACTATGCCCTGCTAATTTGTATTTTTAGTAGAGACAGGGTTTCACAGTGTTAGCCAGGATGGTCCCGATCTCCTGACCTCATGATCCGCCCGCCTCGGCCTCCCAAAGTGCTGGGATTACAGGCATGAGCCACGGTGCCCTGTCCAGTCTCAGGTATTTCTTCATAGCAACGTGAAAATGAACTAATACATATCCCAGAACCAGAAAATGTGAGAGTAGGAAAACAATTTACTGTCCTTGGGAACAGATAGACTTTTGGTCAGTCGGACTAGAGCAGAGCTCTATTGTTGGACAAATCCTAAGTTCAAAACATTTTATGTGTTGGCGCTGATGCATGCAATTGCACTATTAGTGTTTTATTATTTGAAGTTATTGGCCCATATTAACTTGGAGAATTAACTTTCAGATATTTAATTAACACATTAGAGTGAATAAATGTATCAGGCTTTTGCAACAAGACATTCAGCCTAAAATAGGTTTGGAAAGAAGGTAAAGAACTAAGTCTAGCATAGGGCTGCTTGCTTGGAGAGATTTGTTTTGGAAACCCTGGGCAGAGGAGGCATAATGGCAGTAGACACATACCAAGGAGCAGAGGGCACAAGAAAAGGTGATGCATTTGGAATATTCACCATTTTATGTTAGCTACATAAGATCCAGCAGCCAACCAGATTTTGGTTATGTGTTACCAACTTTCAACTCTAAAAAGTACTGGCAGTTTAAATAACTTTATTATAATAATGAGGTAAAAACTTAAGAATAGTATGAGCCGGGAACAGTGGTTCACACCTGTAATCCCAGCACTTTGGGAGGCCGAGGCGAGCGGGTCACTGGAAGTCAGGAGTTTGAGACCAGCCTGACCATCATGGTGAAACCCAGTCTCCACTAAAAATACAAAAATTAGATGTGGTGGTGGATGCCTATAATCCCAGCTACTTGGGAGGCTGAGGCAGGAGAAGCTCTTGAACCCAGGAGATGGAGGTTGCAGTGAGCCCAGATCACACCACTGCACTCCAGCCTGGGCAACAGAGCAAGACTCCATCTCACGAAAAAAAAAAAAAAAAAAAAAAGTACATGATGCTCTGTGATGGTAATCTTTAGATATACATTTTATGTTTCACAAATAAAAGTTTTAAATTACTAAGATACTTTAAAACACAAACGTCACGTCATAGGATATGTATAAACCACAGGCAACACTTATTCTTTATTCTCAATGCACTAAATAAAATTTCAGACACCCAGATAGAAAACACAGGACTGAATTCATTTAAGACAGGGAATACTTTATTCAAAACCCATCACAGAAATGGACAGCTTGGGTCTGTAACAAAGCATTCATGTTTTAGAGCATAGGTCAGTAATTGTATATAAGAGCATACACTGCTACATACAAATTAACTGATCAGACCACAACTTTTCAACGTTTAAAACAGAATAAGCTTCCCTGTAAAAGCAGCACCTTTGTGACATTTTAACTTTAGTATTCCTCTCCTTCTTCCTCACCCTCTCCTTCAACAGAATCCACACCAACCTCCTCATAATCCTTCTCAAGGGCAGCCATGTCTTCACGGGCCTCTGAAAACTCGCCTTCCTCCATCCCCTCACCCACATACCAGTGAACAAAGGCACGCTTGGCATACATCAGGTCAAACTTGTGGTCCAGGCGAGCCCAGGCCTCAGCAATGGCTGTGGTGTTGCTCAGCATGCACACAGCTCTCTGTACCTTGGCCAGGTCTCCACCAGGCACCACAGTGGGAGGCTGGTAGTTGATGCCAACCTTGAAGCCAGTGGGGCACCAATCCACAAACTGGATGGTACGCTTGGTCTTGATGGTGGCAATGGCAGCATTGACATCTTTGGGAACCACATCACCACGGTACAACAGGCAGCAAGCCATGTATTTACCATGGCGAGGGTCACATTTCACCATCTGGTTGGCTGGCTCAAAGCAAGCATTGGTGATCTCTGCTACAGAAAGCTGTTCATGGTAGGCTTTCTCAGCAGAGATGACAGGGGCGTATGTGGCCAGAGGGAAGTGGATGCGGGGGTAGGGTACCAGGTTGGTCTGGAATTCTGTCAGGTCAACATTCAGGGCTCCATCAAATCTCAGGGAAGCAGTGATGGAGGACACAATTTGACCTATTAACCTATTCAGGTTAGTATAGGTTGGACGCTCAATATCAAGGTTTCTACGACAGATGTCATAGATGGCCTCATTGTCTACCATGAAGGCACAATCAGAGTGCTCCAGGGTGGTGTGGGTGGTGAGGATGGAGTTGTAGGGCTCAACTACAGCTGTGGAAACCTGGGGCGCTGGGTAAATGGAGAACTCCAGCTTGGACTTCTTGCCATAATCAACTGAGAGACGTTCCATGAGCAGGGAGGTGAACCCAGAACCAGTTCCCCCACCAAAGCTGTGGAAAACCAAGAAGCCCTGAAGACCGGTGCACTGGTCAGCCTATTACAAAAGAGAGAAACAGAGGAAAGGTTAAGTTTTTGTTCTTTGTAGTACAATCATAGGAAATATATTTTCACTTTTCATACATCTCCCAGGATTTATATCTTATTTTGACAAATGCTTTTTTAAAAATTCTCATTAACATTTACAAAATGACACCAAATAGTTCATTTTAACTGATAAAAACCCCAAAAGAATGACTCATTCCACTCTTTATTAAAATAACAGTTCAATTCTGTGTTTGAAAAAAAAAAAGCAGTATTTCAAATGTGTTCTTTAGGCTCATTAATTTACTTTATTCTTGAAAAGAAACATACCAGCTTACGAATTCGGTCCAACACAAGGTCAATGATCTCCTTGCCAATGGTGTAGTGCCCTCGGGCATAGTTATTGGCAGCATCTTCCTTGCCTGTGATGAGCTGCTCAGGGTGGAAGAGCTGGCGGTAGGTGCCAGTGCGAACTTCATCTGGAGAAGGAGGGAGAGAAGGACGGAGGGAGTGGGTGAGTGACCAGCGGAGCCCCCAGGACAGACCTCCTGTCCCAGCATCCTGGGATCTCACTTGGGTTACTGAGGTCAACTCACCAATGACCGTGGGTTCCAAGTCTACAAACACGGCCCGGGGCACATGCTTGCCAGCGCCAGTCTCACTGAAGAAGGTGTTGAAGGAATCATCTCCTCCCCCAATGGTCTTGTCACTTGGCATCTGACCATCGGGCTGGATGCCATGTTCCAGGCAGTAGAGCTCCCAGCAGGCATTGCCAATCTGGACACCAGCCTGGCCAACATGGATGGAGATGCACTCACGCTGTGGGAAGGAAAAGTGAAAAAATTGTAAAATTAAGGCGTATTAGCATTTCAAACTTTTAGTAAACTTTTAAAAATATTTCTAATAATATACAGATATTTTTCAAAATTATTTGAGGTCATATCCCTAGCACGATACAAAGATTAAGGAAAATGACCTGCTGCAAATGCTGCATATGGGTGTGGTCTGAATAATGATGTCGCCTTGGCCCTGTTCAGCACATGGTACCAGCCCATTATGCCTACTACCATGCTTGAATAGAAGACTTTTCATATTTAAAAAGTATTCAGTATTCAAAGCACAAATTTTGTAAAATGAAGTAAATCCAATTATGACTTAATTGGGATTAATTTTACTGCTTTCTTCCCTTTTAAATAAAGATGAAAGTTTCTTCTGAATAGGACTGACTTGATATTATAACATGGACATCTGTACTGCAGCTGAGGCAAGAAGCCACACCCTTCTGCAGTCTGTCTGCAGAATCCATCAATACAAGGGGTTTAGACAAGGTCTGCTTCTGCCTTCTGCATTGCTGCATTGCTGTATTTGCTGTGCCTGGTGCTAGCCTGTACTGTCTGCTACATTATTTAACAGAGCAAGCTCTATTTCCAGCAACTGCCTACATGATCTCATTGTGCTGTTTTGCCAGTTTTCCTCCTCTGACCCCGCCCGGGACCATGTGCCTGAATTGAAATGAATTAATGAAGATGCACTAGAACAAAAGACAACGGGATGCGGAGTATAATTCTTCTTTGTCTGTAGCAATTTCATTCCTTTTTTTAAAAAAAAAGGTTTTTCCAGATCTTCTCCACTGTAAAAGCTGAAAAATTATCCGTATCTTAAAACACACACACACACACACACACACACACACAGGTTCCTAAGTTAGAAACAAGCATCACATGAAAAGGTACCAAAAAATAAAAGCCCAGTGGAACGATAGTGAAATATTTATTTAAAACAACAAAATAGTATTTTAATCCTGAGATTCTCTACCCACCACATAATATTCATATTCTTTGCATCCAATAGAGGTTTTCTTCTCTGTGGTCTTTAGCGCTACCACTTTCATTGTCTATTCGCTGATGTGGTGGGGGCGGGGCGGAGGGGGCGGCGGGGAAGGGCGTTTCCCTGGTCCTGACCATCAGGGTACCCTGGGGCTCACAAAGTGGGCTTTCTCCCTCGCAGGGTACCCTGGGGCTCACAAAGTGGGCTTTCCTCGCTGAACGAAGGCGCGCGCGCGCGCACACACACACACACACACACGACCATCAGGGTACCCTGGGGCTCACAAAGTGGGCTTTCTCCCTCGCTGAACGAGCAGCACGCACGCACACACACACACACACACACACACACACTTCAGACCAGACATTAAAGAGTTTGTCAAGTGAATTGTGATTTTGCTCAAGAGAAAAAAAAAAGGTCATCTTAATTATAATAGCGAAGAAAACCCTTTTGGAGCCTACAGTTCCGCAATGATGAAAAGTTTTTTTTTAAGTCAGCTCCTGACAGAGGAGGTTCAGTGAGGGCGAACCCCGCCCAGTGGCTCCAACGCCATAGAAGCCAGAAACAAACAACCCCGCCCCTACGCCGCCCTGACACCCGCTGCCGGGGGCTCCAGTAGAAACTCACCATGTTTCCCCGGGAATGTGTGGGTATCTTTCCAAAACGCCAACGACCGCGAGGGGTCTTCCCACGCTAACCCCAGGCTGCGCTTTGTTCCCGTTCCCCCTCCCACATCCCCCAGCTCGCCCAACGCCCCCGCTCTTTTTGGGTGCCTCCTCCTCTCCCGGTCCCCAGAGAACGAGGCGAGACAGAAAGGGGCCCCTCGGCGTCTGTGAAACCGTGCGCACAGACACTGGACCCAGCCGGGACGCCCCAGACCCCTCGGTCGCCGCAGACGGGCTGCCCGCGACCCCGAAAGGCTGTCGGACAACACAGGCGCCCAGGCGCCGCCTTTGTTCCTCCCCAGCGCTCTGCTGCGCCCTGGGCGCAGTCCTGGCCGGGTTCCTGCACCCGCACTGCGGCGGCGGTGGAGCTGGAGGATTTGGGGTAAAGCTAAACCTCACAAAACACACCACCACCCTCGCCCAGAGAGCTTACGAAAGAAAAGAGCTTAAAGGTTTTCCAAGTAGAGCCTGGGGGCGCTGACTCCACCCAACGGCCACAAAGAGCCAAAGCCGATTCTCACCATGGTTGCTGCTTCGCGACTGCCGAGCAGATGGCGGAGACGAGGAGGAGAAGGTTGTTGCTTCTTACAGCGCGACTCTTAGGCGGTCGATGTAAGAGAACCTGCGGCACATGGGCGGATGCGGCTCCATATATACAACTCGGTCACCATGGGGATGGGCCGGGGCCTGTTCCTGTTGGTCCAGACCCCCAATCTGCCCAGAGAAGCCAGGACAGGAGACTGGTGATTGGTGCAAACGACGTGGGATGAGGTAATCTCTCCCCCACCCCTTTTTCTCTAGCATCCGTAGACTGTTTGCATCCTTTAGACAAAGAGACCGTGCAGAAGCATTCTGCCGAGCATCCATTATGGGGTGGGGTCGGGGAGGGGCGGAAGAAGAAAGGGGACTGGGGTTGGAAGACTTTATGTTGCTTAAATCTCAAAATGCAGTTAAAATTATCTATGTGAGGTTTTTTTCCCCCTACCCTTAATAACAGATTTATGTTCAGATTAAATATTTAAAGGAAAATTACTGCCAGCCCCTCCCTCGCAGTATATTAAACTCGACTACATTTTGTTAGGGTTCAACATCTCTAATTGCTTTAAAAATAAAGTGGGAGAGAAAATGGGCGTAATGCTCAAAACGGTCTGGGTAATTGTGATTTTTTTTAATTAAAAAAAAAAGATTTAGTCATACAGTCATTCAAAATGGTTTCTCAGGTTCAACTAACTTATTTTCAGAGCTTCTTTTGCAGGCACACGCACACCCGAATAGCTAAATAAAACTGGAAGATGGAAATAATAACCATACTAAATAAAGAAGCGAACAAATAGTTCTAACATGGCAATAATCAACAGCAAGTGCACGTAGAGTAGTTATAATAGTTTACTAGAGGTATTCCTTTATGAGAAGTCTATGTAACACATTTTGTGTGGTGCATTGTCCTTTGGAATGAATCATCTTTCCTGATATAAAATTGGGAAAATACAAGGAGAAATAATTGAGCTCAGAAGTTAGTACTACATGTGTGCAGTTACATATCTGCACTGGACTTTTGTCTGGAAAGTAACAAGCAAAATAATAGTAATAACCAAGACACCAAATTAAAAAGAAGAGAATAATATAATGTAAAAAGAAGACTATTTTGCAATGTTGCCTCCATCTACAGACAACTGTGAAACATCAGCTCAATAACTGCATTTCCTTTTTATGCAGTTCTTATGTCAATTTGGTAAATATCCTCCTGCGAGTGGGCTTCTGACTGTGGGAATTTTAGCCAGCCTCACACCCTTGCTATTCAACTAGAGACTCTGGTGGTTGCTCAGTTGCCCCTTGGGACAAAAAGGCTTTGCTTTCACCCCTAGGAAATAAATTGGAGTAACATTGTCTTGCTATTTAGAAAGGCTCCATTCTCAGCAACGATGGGCTATGCAGAGTGAGTCACTGGATTTCGTACCACTGGATGTTGGTGATGAAATTTCAGAGGTAAGTAAGTTTGGCCACTAAAGTTGGAAATTTATTTTTTACAAATAATTTTTCCTTTTGGTTTTCAGCGGCAGATTTTTCAGGGTGGGCAGCAACTACTCACACAGCACTCTGCGGAGCCCATTCATTCCTGCCAGGCTGGCAGGCTGAGCAGGGCGTGGGAGGGAGGGACTTGAGAATACAGCTGCTGCAGGTTGTGGTGTGACAATGGCGACCATGAATTTTTCTAGCCTGCCATCCACAGTTCTGCTTTACTTGTTCAATTTTGCTTCAGTAATATTTTCTGGAAAAAAATAATATCCAAAATGCAAAAATCATTTTATCTACTTGTTACATATTTCCTAGGAAAAAATAATATTCAACATCATCTTATCTCCACTTCTTTAGCAAAAAAAAAAAACAAAAACAAAAACAAAAAAAAAACACAAAGAAAATTTCAGAAGAGACAGGAGGATTAGGTATTTGAATGCTTCTTTCAGAACCCAGAAATATATTTAACAAAAATAAGAATTAAATGGCATAAGGAAGCCTAAGGATTAATAAGTAGCTCATTCAAAATACTTTCACAATTTTAATCATAAAATATATCAGACACTATTGGACCATAGCAACATGTACAAGTCTTTTTGGAATGAGAAGCAGAGCTTTGAATATTATTTTCTTTACAATATAAAAAGATTAATTAAGAAATATGTTATTTACCCAATAGTCTCATTTCTTTATGCAATTTCCCAAGATTAAATAAAAGAGAGGAGGGTTCACGTGGTTGATTCTTTGTAATTCTATCTCAGAGCCATTCTGCTCCTTATGTAAATGAGGGTTATTCCTTCTGCTTGAGCATATATAACAGGACCTAGGTCAGAAATAGACTATTTGAGCACTGATAATCTCAAATATATAAACAAAAGATCAGGGGATTTAACTAATCTATAATTTTTGTTCCTTATTATCTGATTTAATAGCACACAAACTGTGGAAAGCAGAACTATTTTTCTTTACTAGTTCACCTCTTATTTTTATTGCCTTTTAAAAAAACTTGACATCAATATACATGTACAAATATTCTGCTAATGGATTCATTCTTGTACACAGTAAGATTAGCATAAAACATTCTTTTTTCATAGTATTTATAGAATTTTAATCATTTATTTACATGTCTACATTTCTCCTCCATTAAAATGTAAGTCCTAACTACAGTAGATGTTATACTCCACGTTTGTTCAGTTAAATGAATAGCTCTCTGTGCAGTTTCCTTCCTTCATTCCTTCCTTCCTTCCTTCTTTCTCTCTCTCTCTCTCTCTCTCTTTCTTTCTTTCTTTTTTTTGAAATGGAGTCTCATTCTGTCGCCCAGGCTGGAGTGCAGTGGCACGATCTCGGCTCACTGCAACCTCTGCTTCCCAAATTCAAGTGATTCTCCTGCCTCAACCTCCTGAGTAGCTGGGATTACAGGTGCTGGCCACCACACCCGGCTAATTTTTGTGTTTTTAGTAGAGATGGGGTTTCGCCATGTTGGCCAGTCTGGTCTTGAATTCCTGACTTCAGGTTATCCACCTGCCTCAGCCTCCTAAAGTGCTGGGATTATAGGTGTGAGCCACGGTGCCCAGCCTTTGCAGATTTTCATTACCTATTATCATGCTTAGTAATGTAAAGATAATAGCCAGAGCGGTGGTTTACTCCTGTAATCCCAGCACTTTGGGAGGCCAAGGTGGGTGGACCACCTGAGGTTTAGGAGTTTGAGACCAGCCTGGAAAACATGGTGAAACCCTGTCTCTATCAAAAATATAAAAATTAGCTCGGTAATCCCAGCACTTTGGGAGGCCGAGATGGGTGGATCATGAGGTCAGGAGATCGAGACCATCCTGGCTAACACGGTGAAACCCCATCTCTACTAAAAAATACAAAAAACTAGCCGGGCGGGGTGGCGGGCGCCTGTAGTCCCAGCTACTCGGGAGGCTGAGGCAGGAGAATGGCGTAAACCCGGGAGGCGGAGCTTGCAGTGAGCTGAGATCTGGCCACTGCACCCTAGCCTGGGCGACAGAGCAAGACTCCGTCTCAAAAAAAAAAAAAAAAAATAGCTTGGGTGCGGTGGCTCACACCTGTAATCCCAGCACTTTGGGAGGCTGAGGCAGGGGATTATTTGAGGTCAGGAGTTTGAGACCAGCCTGGCCAACATGGTGAAACCCCACCTCTACTAAAACAAAACAAAACAAAACACCAGCCAGGTGTGGTGGCTCGTGCCTGTAATCCCAGCTATTGTGGAGGCTGAGGCATAAGAATCACTTGAACTTGGGAGGCGGAGGTTGCAGTGAACTGAGATCATACTGCTGCACTCCAGCCTGAGTGATAGAATGAGACTCTGTCTTAAAAAAGAAGATATTTAATTAAGTATTTTACCATTTATAATCAGCAAGCATTTACTGAGTAAACCCAAGACCATCTTAGGTGGTGAAGATTCTAGAGGTAATAACATGGTCTCTTTTCTCTAGAATCTTCCAATTTATTGGAATAATTAAGACACGTACATTCCTATAGGTTTGAGAATGACATGAACGTGTGTGTGTTTGGAGAGGGACCATGCAATAGATCCCAGTAGAGAGGATCTATTTCATGACTCCATGTATCATAACTTATGAGGGAAACAAGAATTGTTGAACATTTTTTTTTTACATCTTCACCTCCTATTCATCCCTAAATCCATTTCAAACTGGATTCTGCTCCTATCACTCCTTTAAACTAAATTGCCTCCATGTTTGTTTTTTGTTTGTTTTTGAGATGGAGTCTCGCTCAAGTGCAGTGTCGTGATATGGGCTCACTGCAGCCTCTGCCTCCTGGGTTCAAATGATTCTCCTGCCTCAGCCTCTCAAGTAGCGGGGATTACAGGTGCCCACCACCATGCCCAGCTAATTTTTGTATTTTTAGTAGAGACAGGGTTACCCCGTGTTGACCAGGCTGGTCTCGAACTCCTGGCCTCAAGTGACCAATTTGCCTCAGCCTCCCAAAGTGCTGAGATTACAGGCGTGAGCCACCGTGGCTGGTCTATCTTAGTTGTTAAATTCACTGGACACATTGTAGTTCTTGTTGACCTGTGACAGGCTTTGTCACAGTTGATTATTATCTCCTTCAAGACACTTTCTTCCCTTAGCCTCAAAAACTCTACATTTTCTGGGTTTCTCTCCCACATTTTTGTTTCCAGTCAGTCTCTGCTGGATCGTCCTCCTTTCCCTAATCTTCAAATGTTGGAATTCCTCAAGCTTCAGTTCTAGACCTTTTCCTCATTTTATTCTATGTGGTCTCATACATTTTTAGTGGATGGCAAGTGCATTCATTCCCAAGGCTTCAAATCCTTCCTATATGCCGATGACTTCTTTTATTTATTTATTTACTTTTAATTTTTTTTTAGAGACAGGGTCTTGCTATATTGCCTAGGCTGGTCTCAAACTCCTGGCCTCACGTGATCCTCCTACCTCAGCCTCCCCAGTAGCTGGGATTACAGGTAGGAGCCACTGTGCCTGCTGCTGATGACTTCCTTTTTTTTTTTTTTTTTTTTTTTTTGAGATGGAGTTTCACTCTTGTCACCCAGGCTGGAGTGCAATAGCATAATCTCCGCTCACTGCAAATCTGCCTCCCAGGTTCAAGCGATTCTTCTGCCTCAGCCTCCGGAGTAGCTGGGATTACAGGTGCCACCACCACGCCCAGTTAATTTTTGTATTTTTAGTAGAGACTGGGTTTCACCATGCTGGCCA